ACTGTTCAAACTGGGGTAGATATTTCAAATTGAAGAATAAGGAACAAAAAAACCCTATCTGGTGATTCATCCCCAGATAGGCACATCTGGGGGGTTGGACTCAGTCAGCCTTCTAGCAGTAGCACATCTGGGGGGTTGGACTCAGTCAGCCTTCTAGCAGTAGCAGAAAGAATTGACATAAACATTGTGGACACCACACATATGAGGGACCTCATCTTAGCTCACTTCCACATGCTTTCAGAGTATGTATTGCTGATGAGACTACAGGATTCACCACAGAGTATACACCACAACTCCTCTGCTACCTATAACATCTTCCTGAACTACCAGAAGGACTGCATTCTTGCAAAGCCTACTGACAAAACAGATCCTTCCAGCTCAAATTCAGTATTAGCAGAGTCATCACTCACTAACTATAGGAGATTAAACTATAAAGTCTACTGAGAATTAAACTCACCACTACACAACAAAGCGACAGCAGAGAGATACAGAGGAAATACTATAACTCCCAAGCTACTAGATGTCACACAGACTGAGCTCATGTTCCCTGAAGTCAAAGAATGAATCGTAGAAAACAACAGAGGTCAAAAGTAGGAAATTTTTGTTGAGAGATATAGCTCCTGAGAGATAGGAGGAGACCCAGAAGTGGGTTTCTGCAAGTGCACTTCACAAAGTTTCACAGGGCAAAAATCACGAGGTGGGTAAAAATCACAAGGTAGGTACAACATAGGTCAAAATGGTGATCAATCAATAAGATTACAAATATAGCCTCTTAAGTAATACTGATCCAGTGGGGAAGTGGGTCATGTAGCAAGTATATGTGGAGAGGACGAAAATCCTTTCAGGAATAGATGGGTCAGGAAGTCTTTTAACCATCTGGGTGACTGATGTCTAGCTAGACTTTATTGGACTATGTGATACCAATTATAATACAATCTTCAATTTATTGCTTATTCCTTTGGGGAGGCATGTAGGTCTGGTCATTCTGTCTCTATTTTGAGGCTTCGCCTTCAACAGATGTGGCTCCAGCCACAGTTGTAGTGTGTTATCTTCTGCACTGACTCCAAGAGCCTATCCCATCTGACTACCTAACTTAGCTGTCTATAATATTCCCCCCTCTGAAAAGGCACACCTTACTGCTGTGAGAAGGCAAGAGGCAATGACTATTCTGGTTACTTCTACATGAAGAGGGTTGTAGCTGTGATCGGCAGTCAGAGATACTCTCTAGAGGATCTGTCTAAAGTCCCTCAATAGACATCAGGCCTTCTCATCTTAGATAAGATAAGCTTTAAATCTGGATGAGATAAGACCAAAGAAACAGTTAAGTATTCATGGGCCAAATAATAAGATCAACAACACTATCCCTGGTACAACCAACAAATGTTTCCACCAGAAAGAGTCAGTAATAGCCTCTCACAATAAGGGTAAGGAGAAAGTCCAGGAAATTTTAGTACCTGGCAAGGCATTAACCTGTCATTTAATATCCACTGAAATAGCAGAAGGATCAGGAATGGACAAGTAACATTTAGCTTTTATAATTGCACAAGCACCTCTTGTGCTGCTGTGAAGGTGTCTAATACCATCCGATTTTGAAGGATGGCTTGTTTCTTTAATTCTATTTCTTTATTTCGGAGAGAGAGACAGTCACTGTGTTGTTTAAAGCCTGTTGAGTATAGCTAGCTAAGCCCTTCATGTGTTGCATGACATCTTCTTATCCTAAGGAAGGGACAGAGATAGAACCCAAATGATCATGCCAGTGAAACACACTGCTGGACCATTGATGTAGATCGGGTAAGTTTGCAGCTTTGTCAATATTTTTGACACTCCTATCTTGTAACAATACAAATCTCAGTGTGCATCTCCCTATCCACTTATCAGGTAACTAGGGCCACAAATTGGCTCCACAGGACCAATGAGTGCTGTTGAGGGATTCTCCTCTAATTCTCTAGGGTGATTAAACCAGTATGTCATAAACCAGTCTTTGACCTGTAAAGTTGTGGTGTGTATATATTGTTCAGGGGGTGTTTATCCCCAGTTTAGGCCAGTGAGAATAGGAGTGATTTCCAGGTTTGGTGGTGCACACCTGTAATCACAGCACTCAGGAGGCTGAGGCAGGAGGACCACTGCAAGTTTAAGGTCAGCCTGGGCTGCACAGTGAGTTCAAGGCCAGCCTGAACCACAAGACAAAACCCTCTCTCAACAACAACAACAAAAAGAATAGGAGTGATATCTTTGTTCTCAATATAAGAGTGACTTTCTACTAAGTGGTCCTATATTTGGAGTTAATTTTATCTAATCATTCCATATCTGAAAATAGCCATCTTGATGTCTATGATTGTTGGCTTCCATGATAGGACCCTTACTCTTACTTAGTAGGAGTCTTATTAGTGACTATAGAGAGGCTTTAGTGATGTTCCTAGAAAATTTGTGATTATGCCAAGGGTTATTAATAGTGTTTATATTTGTATCAAGTATGATTAAGGGACCCTTCCCAGATCAGGAGTGCCTGAAAGGATGGCCCACAAGCAGCTTTTTCTATAGCTTCAACAGCCAACTGATTATCTTGAGATACTTTATGTCTTTATGATACTTTATGGGAGATCCATTGGCTGTTAGATAATTTGTCTTTTTTTTGCATATGGCTGCATGAGCATGCAGCACCAGGAAAGCAGACTTTGAATCAGTATAAATATTATTTACCAGTACAAATATTGACTTTCTGTCTTTTCCTGAATTGTAAAGCCCTGGTCAGAGCTATGAGTTCTGCTAGCTGGGCACTAGTATCAGGGACAAGTGAGGAACTTTTAAGTGTCTGATGCAGAATCACTACTGCATACCCTGACTGCCTTGGCCCATTTTTCATGAAGGAACTGCCATCATAGAAGAATGTCCAATTGGAATCATGAGAGGTGCGTCTAACAAGTCTTCTCTGGCTTTGTACGTATGAAGAATTACCTATTTGCAATCATATGATTCAGCTTGAATTTCTTCTTTTTCTGGTAGAATGTTCACAGGAGGAAACATGTCTTTATTTGAATGGCTGGTCCTTCTAGAAATAGAGGCTGCTGTTTAAGAAGTTGGTTGTCGGATAGCCATAGGCTCCTTTTGAAAGAAAGAAGTCCTGCCACATTGTGAGGTGCATATACGGTGAAATCATTGCCTAAAATTAGCTTGGTTGCCTCTGGTACCGAGAGAGCTACAGCAGCTACAGCTCTAACAAATGAGCACGTCCCTTTGCTACAATGTCTAATTCATGACTTAGACACCCTACAGACTGTTCATAAGGTCCTTGATCTTCATAAGAACTCCCAAAGCCACGCCTGTCTTTTATCAACATATAGATTGAGATGGCATCCTATCAGTAGGCTCAGTGTTGGAGAATCCAGAAATACTTGTTTAAGCTTGATTGTAATATTTTTTTTCGGTAAGTTGTGAAAAGGGTTCAGTCTACACCTAACTATTCCTTATCACCAGGCAAAACTTCCCTGAGTCTCAATGCTGCATGAATTTCTTTCAGTCCGACTGACAGTTATACACCTCCATGCCTTGCTATTTTACATAATTATTTCAAAAGATTTTTGCATCTTCAGATCATTTACACACACACACACACACACACAATAAGTGGAATTGAGCACTCATTATAAGACCCTCTGAAGAGCTTACAGCTCACAAATTCCCTCTATGTGCAGCTCTGAATCTGTCCTCTCTCCTGTCATCTTGGTCCCCGCAGACTCTACAACCCTTCTCCTTGATTAAGGTATTACATGGTGCTCCACCTGGCTCTTATTCCCTGCACTGCAGCCTGGAAAACTTCTAAGGCCATCCTCTGATGCCATTGTATGGTAGCTATCTCATTTCCCATCTCTCAGGGATCATTGTCCTTTATTGCCCGATGTCCAGTTTCTTACAGACCATTTTTATGCATGTGTTCTCCATGCAATGGTTGTTTCTATGGGAAAATGGGACCACTCATTGTGACTTCAGATTGACAGAGAGGAGCAGTATTTTTGTATTTGTGCTGTGGAGGTAGTGTGTGCTCGTGTGTGAGTCTGCATGGGCATGGGTGTGCATATGTATGGCCTACAGATGTTCGGCATCTTTCTCCTTCACCTCTTCTCTTCAAGGACAGCCATAGAAACAGAGATGGTGAAAGAAGTAGGCAGAGGAGATGAGAAAGATAACAACTAGTGAGACACAGATGTAGGGGTGGAACAGGTGCAGAAAGACAATGAAATGTGAACTGGTAACATTAGGACACAGCCAGGAGAGACTGTCTGTCTTGGACTCCTGCCTCTGTGAACTCAATATTTCTCTCCTTGTCTTTTTATGGTCTGTGTTTCTCATTGTTGCATGCTTTTTCTGCCCCTTGTGACTCTTAACACTCCCTCCTTTCTCTTTCTGTGTGTGTGCATGTGTGTGTCTGTCTGTCTGTCTCTCTGCCTCTCCTTCCCTACCTCCATCCTTCCTTTTCCTTCTCCTTCTTCTTTCCTGCAAACTCTGAGCTCCAGAAGTGCAGAGTTGGGTCCAGTTGGTGGAGGTCTTCCAGGCTTGGGTCTGTCAGTTCTGTCTCCACCATCACTGTGGTCTGCACCCTCCCTGCCCCTGGCAATGGTGAGGCCCCATATAAAAATGAATGTTTCCACATCTTACGCCCTCCTCTTTCATTCTCTTTTATTTAAAGTGGGAAACCATAGCCAGGGGTGTAGCTCAGACACACAGTGCATACCTACCAAATGCAAAGCCATGCATTCAATTCCCACACAAATAAATAAACAGTGAGAAATCATCATCTTGCCTGCAAAGCCACACAAATCACTCGCCACCACCAAAGATTCTAACTTAGGGGATGGGGATGGCTGAATCACCCCATAGGCAAAAAGGTGGGACAATGGCATGGCTTTATCTGAGACTGAAAATCAAAGCCACCATATCCCGCCCCTCTACCTATTCTTCTGACTCAAAATAGGGCTAACAAAGGGCATCTATTCAATCCTGACCTTGAGGTAGTGCCATCACAGACATTCCTGACTCCGGCAACTTGCTCTTGCTGTGCTGAGATACTTGGCACTCATCTTGGGTCCTTGTTCCAGCCCTAATGGGAAAGCATGAAGTGCTTTACACAGAATAATCCACTTAGGAGTGGGGAGAGCACAGACAGGGTGAGAACTTCCCTAAGGTCACAAGAGATGCTAGAGGTAGAACGCAGTGTGGTTACAGTTTCTGTTTTCATCACTTCGCTCTGCTACCTACCTCAGAAAGATGTGGAGACACACGTTTACTGGTTTGGGTGTTTGAATATACACCAGAATGCACAGTATTTTATCTTCTCCATATTCCTTTGTATGTGGGTGGCTCGTGGATCCTCAGATTAAGCTGTTGGTAACTGGAGCTGCAATCAACTCATGGAGAAGATCATCTCTTATACACAGTCACACAAGAGTCAGCTGCTTAGTGAAGGCTTTGCAGCTGAGCAGTGTCTAAATAATGCAACCACTCAACTGATTTACCATGGATTATGTGAGCTAACTTCAACAATTCAGGAAGGAAAACTATGTGTACTTTCAGAATAATCACTTTAGCACCATGACCAGATATAGAGTTTGACTGTATTTGCTGGCTACAGACCAGGAGTTTCTTACTGAAGTAAAAGTTGTTTGGGAAGCCTAGACAATTGAGGTGGTGATGGAAAGTTCTGTGACTCAGACTTTCATCTGCAGCCTCATTCAGATCCTGGAACTGTACACAAAGAATAACAGGATTGTTACTGGGTGTTTGGGGGGTGAGCAGTATTTTCCAGGTTCTTATTGTACCATTCAATGAATTGGGTGGAACAATCAGTGAATGTGAAAGATGAACATTTATTTGGGCAAAAAGAATAAGAAAAAGGAAAATAAGCATAAAATAGTTGTTCAAAGAGAAAAGGGTGCTTTGAAGACAGAGACACATCCTGCAAACAGAAAAGACAATGGCAAGAGCAAGAGGGGAGCGACACAAAGTCAGTGCTGCGGTCTTTTTATATCTCCTTTCATCTTTAACCCAGGTGATCCCCCTTGATGTCATGGTAGAAGATTGGAATCAAGTGGGAGGCTCAACTTGTTCCATGTGAGATGAGTATCAGGTGCAGAGTTTGGCTTGATCTCGTGTCAGGCTTCAGAGCTGCTGCTTTGCACCCATAACAAATCTCTTCATGGGCAGGGCAGGTCATGCCCAACTACTCCAGGCAAAATCATCATACCCATGCTATGCCTCAGGACTAGTAGACCTCTGATGTAATCATCTCCACAAGGAGATCAGCACAACCCAGAAATCACTGGGGGACAAATCCTGAAGGACTCAGTGATTTACAGCTGGACAAGACAAGAGAAACAAAACAGATGAGTTTCTCAATTGCATCAGGAACAGGAACAGGAACAAGAGGAAGCACACGGCCCCAGAAGGGTCACCAGGGCACAAGCAACGTTATCAGATACAACAGCTTCTCCATCTGCAATCGGTGAACAGAAACAAAAGAAATCTGTGAAAAAGATAAAGAAAAGGAAATTGTAGCTATGTTATTTTGTGACAAGTACTAGATTTTCTTGGAGTCACCTACAGTACACATGTCTTGAGAGAAACCACAAGGGGAAGGTAGAGAACTGATAAATATCCTCTGTGCCTGATTTCCATTGTATTTTGGGGGGGAAAGGTTTGCTGCTTAGGTACAATCAAGTCACACAACGCCCTTCATGATCTGTGGAGGTTTCTTGCTTTCTGTTTACTATGTACAATGTATTAACATTTAAGCAAAAGTTTCTTTCTTATTTACACAGTTAAAGCCTGGGGCAGTCAGGATAGCAAGTTGGCCTGGGAATCAACGCTGTGAATTTGGAAATGTGCAGTGGTTCTTGGCATCCCAGCACAGGGACAGTCCTCCCTGGGGGGAAGAAGCCACATTGGGCATGGGGAGCCTGAGTTTGCACTTTGACCGGCTTGCTTTGCTGTCTTCATTCTTCTTCAGTTTCATTTCAGGATCTAAATCAGAGTCTCCATTTAATTCTCTCCAAGCTCTGCAGCCTCAGGTATTATTATTATTACTGGTATGACAGCTCTGAGTAATGGCCATCATAATAACCACATACTGAGTTTTTATTGTGTGCTAAGTAATTCTCTCCACAGACAGTCCCAGACTTAGGATGGTTCCACTTATGATTTTTCAGCTCTACCATGGTCCACAGGCTTGAAATTTGGAATCGTGACCATCTCTCAGGCGAGCACTGTGCAGTACAACACTCAGCTCCTGGTGAGCCACACAGTCACAGGAAGAAGCAACCTGAGCCTGCTAGGAGGTCAGGTCAGATAGGTTAGGTGAGTTAAATGCATTGTTGACTGATGAGATCTTTGATTTACACTGCATTCACTGGGGGAGCTCACATTATAAGTTGAGGAGCCTGTGCATTGCACTGACTCCTCCAAGTGGACATGGTTAATATGCCCATTGTGCAGAGGGAGAAAGTAGGTCCAGGAGGGAAGCATTCGTCCAGAGTCACCCCGCTGGGAAGCGACAAAGCTGGGACTGAGCCCAGGTCTGCTCGCCCCAGAGCCTACGCTATCCCTGCCCCGCTATTCCCAGGACCAATTAGACCCCGAGGGCTTTGGTTCTGTGCCACAGGGCACCACAGTGCCCTCACTGCCCCATTCCGTCCTCCAAGACCCCAACCCCAAGAGGCTCCTGGATACAAATAGAGCCTTCAGGAGGAGCTTTGCCCCTCTGCCCTCCTCTGCAGGTCAGGACTGTGCTGTGCGATTCCACCTACCCTCTGTGTTCCCCTTTTCCTAACATGAGCCAATTCCTACTTTTCTGACTGCTCCTTTAGAAGACAGATGCTGAACACATGAGGAGAAGGATGAGGAAGGAAGATCCACCCCAACCACACTGATTCCAGACAGCACTCAATCCATTCAGGACTAGAGATTGTTCCAGGCCATGAAATCATCCAAACTTATGTTTTTAAAACATATTTTCATTGATTAAAAACAATCTAAAAACAAGGATAATCCAAGTTTTAAACTAACAGTACATTTATCCAAAATACTCAATATTTTTTCAATGGACGCTTTTGTTACAATTATCTAAAACTTGGACAGCTATGCAAACATGAGCTAATATTTTTGTCTAAACAGGTATTAGTTGTATGTGTAATGCAAATACATGGCAAAAAAATAATCAAGCACAGCAAGAGTACAAAAGGAAAGGAAAGTCTCCTTGATTCTGGTCCTCCGATTGTATGTCCTACAACTCAGAGTTAACCACAATTTCTGGTTTCATGTGTATCCTTGTAGAATGCCTCTAAATAAATGGAATCATAAACATAAGCCTACATGCACAATTTACAAAGCGACGTGATCCTAATGTCTTACTGCATTTTGTGCTCCCAAGACAAAGTGCCCGAGGCTGGGTACTCTTTACAGAGGTTTGTTCAGCTCACAGTTGTGGCAGCTGGGAAGTTCAAGGACAACTGGCCCCACTAGTGAGATCCTCTTTCAGGTCCTAATTTGGTGATGGGCTCACATAGAGGGAGCTAACACAAGAGTGAGGGTTCTCCAGATAAGAGAGAGGAGGCAAGAGGCCAGGAAGGCAGGTTTGCTCCTGTAAATCAAACTGCTGTCCTGGAAACTAATCCACTCCTTGGGATTAGTATAAATCCCCTCCAAATGGTGCTTCCATGATCTAATCGCCTCCCACAACACCCTATTCAAGACCCACCCCTTCTTAAAACCATATTTTGAGTCCAGCTTCTTGCACATAGACTCTTGGGGGCCAATCCATACCCACAGCCTAGTACTCAATGACCTACTATTCCATTAGGGCTTTATTTTTCCCCAGGACAGTTGATTGATCCCAGGTCTTTCCAATCAAGGTACATTCCGAGCCCATTTTGATTTTTCAAGACAGGGTCTAACTAAGTCACCAAGTTGCCCAGGCTGGACTCCAACTTGCAATCCTCCTGCCTCAGCCTCCCAATGGCAGAGATTACAGACAGGAACCACCACATCCAGTTCCTTTTTCATTTAACCACCACCTTGAATATTTCTCTACTGCAGCACATTTGGCTCTAGCGTACTCTTCTGAAGGCCTGCATAGTACTAGAGCATCTCCATACTGACGGGCATTCACATTGTCTCCAGCTTTTCGCTCTGTTCCAGTGTACCTAGTTCTGAACAAGGCTTGGGCTGCTGTGGGAGTATTTCTGAAGGCGAAGCACCTGAAGTCCACACCAGTCCCACACTCACTCACTCAAGAAGCTACTGCCTGATTTTATGGGCTATTGCTGAAAGACAGAAATGTGTTTGCCCAAGGCTGGTCTAAATGAGCTATCCATAGGCTCTCAGCTTTGCAGTGAGTTTGAAACATAGTTGATTTGGGGTAAGGGGGTTTTTTGGTTTCTGTTGTGTTTGGTTTCTGTTCTATTTCATTCTTCAGTATTGAGGGTTAAACCCAGGGCTTCATGCATGTATACAAGTGGTCTACTCCTGAACTACAGCCTGGCTCTTTTTTTTTTTTTAAGATAAGATCTTTCAAAGTTTCCCAGGTTGGGTTTTAATTTCTGATTTGTATTCCTTAGCATCTCAGAGTGCTGGAATGACAGGAGTGTACCACCACATTTGACCTTTTTGGGGGGGTTGTATCTGGGCTTGAATTTGGGACCTTGTGAGACAGGTGGTAGAACCACTGAGCTAAATCACTGGCCCATACCTGGACTTTTTTGTTGTTGTTTTGTGACAGAGTCTCACTAAGTTGTAAAGCTTTTGATCTTCTTGCCTCAGCCTCCCAAGTAGCTGGATTACAGGAATCCATCACTATAACCCTGAGGTCTCTGAAAGCCACAGCAATGCAAATGTGGTCACTCTGGGAAGATGCTGCCAGCTGTAAAATGGGGCTGACCTCTGAGACCTCCATCTGAGGGAACAGTCTGATTTCTTAGTGATCATCTTTGCAATCAGGGCATGGCTCACGGGGCTCTTGTTGTGGCAATTTTTGTCACAATCCCCTCTAAGGTGGCCTGAATTTCCACAGTGGTAGCAAGTGAGTTTAGTCACTTAGCTCTTCCTGGAGCTCCCAAAATAAGACTTAGAGCCCATTTCTTTTAAAGTGATAACCATAGCAGCAACTTTCTTGTCAACTCTTTGTTTTCTTTCCTTGGCCTCCTCCTGGTCTTTATTATAAAATACTCAGGAGACAATTCTCATTAAAGTATCAAAGGAGCTATCTGGAGCAAAAGTAATCTTTTAGCTTCTCTCTGTTCTGAAGCTGACTGGATAATAAACTTGTCCTTAAGAATAATAAGAATAATCTGTCTTGGGACAACTCACTTTCTGGTCCCCCTTCTGTCTCAGAGAGAAGCTTTCCTTCCTTCAATAAATTTTTCCTACTCTTAACCTCCATTGTTCCTAGAATTCATTCTTCAGTTCTAGAGAACACAAACTCTGGATATCTAGCAGGTTTGGGAGTTGCATCTATTCCCCCATATCATTTTGGAGATCTTTCACCAAGATTACTGGTCAGAGTGTTTGATTCAAGACACTTCCCTCCTCTGTGGCTGCTGGATTTCAAGACAAACCTTCCAGAATGTTTGCAGACCAAAACTAGAAAGGTAACTGGGCTATGAGGACAGCCAATATTTTGGTCCTGGACCCTCAAGATCTACAAGATCCAGGACAAAAGGAACCTTTCCTATAGGATCCTACTTCTTTGAGGCTGCCAAACTCCAAGTGGTCATACAAATAGAACTACTGACAAATATGCTAGACTTCTTTAATGGGATGCACTAGATTGACCTTGAAAACAGCTCATAACTGCTAAACTGTACAAAATGACTTCTATGTTGGTTTCTGAAGTCCCCTGGGCCTTCTCCCTATCCTCTTTATGGGCTATATTCATAGCAACCCTGTGACCTTATAAAATGGCCCATGCATTCTTAACTGTTTCTTTGGCTTTGTCAGGAATTGTAACAGCATGGCCTAAATCTATATGTAAATTTATGTGAAATGTCAAGCTAAAAACGACCTACCATGCCTTGTTAGTTTCATGTGGCTCCTAATGGCCATGTGATGTTTCATAATTCTAGTGTTCCACAAAGGTATGTCCTTGAAGCCCCATGAACATAGGACAAACAAATATTGGATGTTGGAAGAACTTTCCCCACAGGTCAAATTCCACAGAGTTTATGCAAACAAAGACCAAGTTTTTCTGCAATGTTTTGCTGTGTACTGAAAAAAATTCTTTTTGAAGGCTCAAAACTGACACTGGACAAAAATCATAAAGAAATGCCAGACAAATTTAAATTGAGGTCACGACAGTATCTAAAATAATCAGTATGTGCTCTTCAGAATTACAAGGTCAAGAAGGACAAAGGCTAAGAAACTGTTCCAGATTAAAGTAAATCAAAGACTTCAACTAAATTATGGACTGAATCCTGAATTGTAGCAGAAGGGCAACTATAAAAGACATTGCTAAGACAAATAATAAACCTGTTATTACACACTGTGAATTTTACAACAGTGTTAAATTAATTATAATTCATTCATTTTGATCATTGTACTGTGGTTATGTAAGAGAAAGTTCTTGCTTTTAAGAAATACATGCTACCATACTTAAATAGGAAAAAATCTGTACTTTAATCTATGAAATTATAGTAGGGATCTCAATATCCCACTACACAAATCAAATAAACCAAAGAAATCAGAGTTAGACCAAACATTTAAACAAATAGTTTTACTAAATATACATATAGTGTTCCACCCAACAACAAAATACACACTTTTTGGCAAAACATGGTACTTTCTCCAAAATAGACCACATATTAGAAAGTAAAGCATGCCTAAGTAAATGCAAAATAATTGAATTTTTAATATGCAGATTATCATATCATAGTACAATGAAACTAGAAATCAATAACAAAATAAACCACAGAAACTATGCAGTCATATAGAAATTAAATAACAGACTCACAAATACTCAATAGGTCACAGAAGAAATTAAGAAATCAATAAGAGAATCCCTATAAGTAAATGATAATGCCAGTGTAACAAGCAGAACTTATGGGACACATTGAAAACAGCCATACAAGGGTAGTTTATAGCAGTGAATGCCCACATCAGAAAAATAGAATAAGCCCAAATTAATAACCTAATGATGCATCTCAAACTCTTAGAAAACTCAGAACAATCCAAACCCAGAGCTTGTACAAGGAAGGAAAGTACAAAGATCACAGCAGAAAATAATGAAATGAAGACTTTAAAAATATAAATAATCAGTGAATCAGAATGAGTTCCTAAAGCCTGGAGATTTAGCTCAGTAGTGCTGCTGCCTTCTTCGCAAGGTCCTGAGTTCAATCCCAGTACCAAAAAAAGAGTTAGTTCCTTGAAAGAATAAAATGACACAGACAAACCCTTACCCAATCTTACCCCCCCAAAACAGGAAAGAAAAGACACAAATTAAAGCAACTAGAAATTTAAAAAGTGAAATTACAAAAGACACTTCCAGAATCCAGAAAATTATTAGCGGCTACCTCACAAATGTACTACATATGCAAAAGAAATTGGAGAACTCAAAAGAAACGGAGATATTTCTCGTTATATATGAATTGCCAAAACTGAAACAAAAATAGTTAGAAATCTTTTACAATCCAATAACAGGAAATGAGACTGAAGCAATTACACACACACACACGCACACACACACACACCAAGTAAGAAGAGCCTGATGTCGGGCGTGGTGGCACATACCTGTAATCCCAGCACTCGGGAAGTGGAGGCATAAGGATGGCTATGACTTTAAGGCTATCCTGGTCTACATAGTGAGTTCAAGATGAGCCTTAACTACAAAGTGAAACCCTGTCTCAAAAAAAAGAAAAAGAAAGCAAAGCCCAGGATCTCATGGATTCCCAGTGCAACTCTACAAGAACTTCAGGAACAATCTAACAATAGGCCACAAAAGTTTTGATGAAACTGAGGAGGAATGAGTATTTCCAAAATCATTCTCAGAAGTTAACATAATCCTGATGTAAAATCAAGATAAGGATCCAACCAAAAAGAGAAGAATACACTAATTTCTCTAATTAACATAGGTACAAAAATTTTTAACAACATATTAGAAGCAGAATGCAGCAAATCACGAAAAAGATCATGACCAACTAGCTTCATCCCAGGGATGCAAGAATGGTTCAACTTCCACAAATCATGAATGTAATTCATCACATAAACAGAAGCAAGGACAAAAGACATGATCATTTCAAGAGATGAAGAAAAAGTCTTTGATAAAATCCAACATCTATTCATGATTTAAAAAAAACTTTCACCCGAGGAACTGTTTGGAATTTACATATGTGTGTCCTCTTTATTTCACTTGTGTATCACCTCAATGTGTTTCCATTTAGCAATAAATATCTCTAGTTTATCATTATTTGTGGCTGAGTAGTACTCCATTTTAGGGAAAAGCGCATCTTTATCCAGTCTCCAAATGATGGGTAATTGGGCTGTTTCCAAATTTTAGCTACTACAAATTGTGCCACTGTAAACATGGGTGCATATATATCATTGTGGTATGATGCTTGTAATTCTTTTGGGAAGATACCCAGCAGGGGAATAGCTGGGTCAAATGGGACTTCTAATCCTAATTTGTTAGATATCTCCATACTGATCTCCACAGTGGTTGCACCAGTCTACATTTCCATCAACAGTAGAGAAGGGTTCCTTTTCCCAACAACCCTGCCAGCATTTGTTGTTGGTGTAAATAAGGATCAAAATGTATAACAGATAATGTGAAATAGGAAGAAAAGTTCCAAAGGGGAAGTGAGAGGGGTAGGAGAAAGGAAAGAACGGAAAGGAATAAATATGAGAAAAGGGAAAAATGGAAAGTCTTTTAAATAGGGAGGCATGAAGGGTTTGAAGGGAGGGCCGGGGGATGGGTAAA